CCGCCATGGCCATGAGGCAGACCCCGCTGACGTGCTCCGGGCACACGCGGCCCGTGGTGGACCTGGCCTTCAGCGGCGTCACCCCCTACGGCTACTTTCTCATCAGCGCCTGCAAGGGTGAGCGGGGACGGGCGGCGGCGGCCCCCGTGTCGCCGGCCCCTTTGTTTCGGCCTGCCCGGCGGGGACGCCCCCGCCCCCGGGGGTGGGTGTGTGGGGAGGGAAGGGGGGGTGGGCCGCGCCGGGCCTCGCCTCCGCCCCGCCGCTCGTAGGCCGCGCATCGCCTTCCTGAGGGGGTGTTGCTGGGCCGGGCGGCTGGTGCTGGCTGGGGCGGGGTAGCCCGTTCGTCCGGCGAAACGCTGGTGCTTGTAGGGTAATAGCAGCTTACGGGGTTGCCGAATGAAAAAGGGAGCGGGCAGCTGGGTTTTGTGGTGCTCAATTACCGGATTAGCCTGGGGAGTATCAAAGCCCGCATTCGCCCAATTTGGATCCACACTGTTGGGGGGGGGGGGGGGGCGGGGGGGGGAAGCCTCGAAAAGATTCATTTCTAAAACTGCCCACTTCTACTGTCTGCGCGCATAGGCTGTAGACTTTAAAGTGAGCTCCCGTTTAACCACGGCAGCTGCCTTGCAGGACGTAGAATGACGACGTCTGCCTCCTTTCCCGTGAGAGCTCTCCTTCATTACGTGAATAGCATTTCCCCTTCATACACGTATACGTTAATCTTATGTGTCTATTCATAAGTTTAAAAGGACATTCTTTTCTGCCTCGGAGTGCTTCCAGTTCAGCTCTACATCTTGTGTGAACAACTTTTTGATGGCCTCCCAGAAAAAAATAATCGCAGGAAAGGCTTTCTGTTTCTGTTTCATTTTTACAGCATCTCTGTGTGTGTTTTAAACATATCTGATTACAAACACGAGACTTATTTCTGCGTACTGTTAGTCTGATAATATTGTTCCAAAGTAAAAAACCAAACCTGTCCTGCCTGAAGAAAATTTCAGTAAAAATAAAACCTAAATGAAGTGCTCCTTTCTGTTTCCCTTCTACCTTAACACAAACCTAAAGAAAACTTTTATCATATTTGGAGTGGTATTTTAATGTCTGTACAGTTTTAGATGCATGCAGCAAGTACAGCTGCATATCTAAGCCTTTCAACTAAACTCTTTTACAAAGAATAGCTTCATAAAGTGTGTGGTATTTCCACGTGCTGGTGCAAGGGAATCTTTTTTAAAAACAGCTTCCTTTTTTATCATGTTACCTAAATATTGGTTTTGTTTTTGTGAAGATGGTAAGCCTATGCTGCGTCAGGGTGACACAGGAGACTGGATTGGCACATTTCTAGGTCATAAAGGTGCTGTTTGGGGTGCCACTTTGAACACGGATGCCACTAAAGCAGCTACAGCAGCAGCAGATTTTACAGCGTAAGTGATTAACTGTCTTTGAAGTCTGTATTTTGATTTTACTCTATAGTGCTCCTTGGTGACACGTAGCTGTAGTAAGTTACTGATTAATTTGTTTTTCTTTAGTAATTGTTAGCTTATGGCTAGCCAAATTAAAACCTAGACTTTTAGGTTCTTGAAGGCAGCTACAGTTAATTCCGTCATGATGAAAAACTATGATTCTTTCTTGATAGATATATGTAATTACCATACTGGTTTGCTAGAATAACATTTCTTTGCAACTCTAATCTCTGGCACTGTAGTTATAGCAGACTTGAAAAAGTGATTTTTATTTTGCTTCTAGCAGCCTCTTTTTCTTACAAGAAAACTCTTGTGAAAATTCTAGTGAATTATTTCTTTGATGTTTTTTGTTGTTTGGTTGTGCTATTTGCAGCATATGTTAAATATTCAGCAAGTTGAATCCTGTTAGTAGACGGCAATCTCTATTAATAAAGTTGTGGAGAAAAACTGCCTTTGTCTTAAAACTAAAATGCTAATTAGTCTGCATTATCCTGAAGAAAAGAATAAAGGAAAATGGTGAGAGAGTACAAAAAAAGCTTTAGTAAAAACATATAAACTGTTCTCACTGACTAACTGGCTTATGTAGCGTTTATGATAAAACGTTATCGTGGTGTCAGGAAAGATTGCTTACAAAATAATCTGACTGTCAGGTTGATTTGTCCTGGTGCTACTAAAATAAAAATGTTTTCTCTTGCCGTTTAGCAAAGTGTGGGATGCTGTGTCAGGCGATGAACTAATCACATTGGCTCACAAACACATTGTCAAAAGTGTGGATTTTACACAGGTATGAAAAACTGTTATACCTTATTCACTAGGGAAGTAAGCTCTTGAGTTCATGTTTTGCTGTTAGTTACTTTTCTGCTTTTTACGTGTGTATCTTAACAGGCAAATAATCTAGCATACCACTTCTAGTTTTTAAGATTGTAGCTTAAATGTAGTAAGTGTGTTAGAGGCTATCTGAGAGAAAGAACTGTTATTTTAAGACTCACAGATGAAGGCTGGTATTTTGATTCAAAATAGAGTTGACCCTTTATAACTTCTGTTTCAGGATAGCAATTATCTGTTAACAGGTGGACAAGATAAACTATTGCGTATCTACGACTTGAGCAAGCCAGAAGCAGGTGAGTCTGCTTTGAGAACTGATTCTTGTTTCTTGGAGTTAAATAAAAGGTCTGAAATTAAAAGCTACTTTCTGTTATGAATCACGAAAGACAAAGTTGAGGATTGTTTTACAAATGTAGTGTCTATAACCTTTTGCTATAGTAAGATTACCTGTATGTTTTATGTTTACCATTTTACAAGTGACTTGGAGTGTATCTATAATGGACTTGAAGGATAGCATGTTTCAGTTCAATGCAGACTCATTAGAAATATGTCTAATTAATTAAAATTTAGTCATCTGAAAGAAAAGAGACTCCACATATTTAAGAGTGTTTAAATTCATGTTGATGCTGGACTACTGATGATTGATATGAAGCTAGAGAACCTTTATGTTAAACTAGTGAGGCTTTTTAAATTTAGGCAATCAGATACTCAGCCTGTTCCTGGAATAAGATCTACAAATAAAGTTGTAAGTGCTTGAAGTAATTTTACAGCTGCTAGTAAATGGAAATTCATATAGTTCAAGAAAGCTCCCAAACTGCTGCATGACATTATTTCATTTTCTTACAAGTATTAAAATATTTGGCTTTACTTTAAGAACCTGACGTTGTCAGTGGACATACTTCCGGCATTAAAAAGGCTTTATGGAGCAGTGATGACAAACAGATTCTTTCAGCTGATGATAAAACTGTCCGGTAAGAAAAAGTAACTTTGAATTTTCCAAGAAGCTCACTTTATTTATTGTCATAATCTACGTGAGAAGATATGGTTTTTGGTAAAGGATACAAGTAACACAAGTTATTAGATCCTGGATTATTATAGCTGCATGCCTAATACAGTTCTTATCTGCTGTTAGAGACAAAACTTTTGTAATAATTCTAATTTACCTCATAAAAGTGTCCTCCCTGATAAGAAGAGGTGGTCTTTGAGAACTGCATAGTAGAATAAATTTATGCCTTTTGTAATCCTAGAGAAGATGAATTTGTAGATGAGGTCTTGTGCATACACATTGTGCTGAGGTATTGCTGTCTTGTCATCTGCAATCCAGCCTTGAAAGATGCACAAGGCATGGGCTAGCCAGGCATTGGTTTAAAAGACTTCTGGAAACAGTGCACTGTTGATAGACATAGCCTTCTTTCTCTGCCATGCTGATCAGTTGAGTAGGCTTTAGTGTTTTTATAACATGGCTCATCCTGTCACAGTTAAGTGTTTTGTTTACTTTATGCCCAATTGGTAGGAGATGTGCTGAAACCTAGACAAACACGACTGCTGGGGAGATAAATTGACAAAGATCCTTCTTCAAACTGTGCTGTCCAGAAAAGATGAGAGATGTGCCTAACTGCTTCCTCAGCTTTCTGGCTGATATGACCAGTGTTATCTCATGTCTAGCTGTCTCTCCATTCTTGTATTTATGGCACAAAGGAGAGAGAAATAGAATGGTCTTTTCTGCTTTGTGGAAGGAATGATGGGAGGGTAAAGTCACTGGTGCAATTTCCTTGTAGTCTCCTTTTCAGCTCCAGTTCTCTTCAGTTTCCTAGTGTTCAAGATAGGCAAGAGCCTAGTCTTGTTTGTTTTTCTCTGAATTGTAGGAATGGAAATGTAGCAGTCATCTAATGAATGAAGATTCTTACTTGTCATAGCAGAACAATTTCATTTCTTTTCTGTTTAGATAGCTCTTGCACCCCTAGATTGAAAACAATATTATCTTAAATGAATCTCTGTTCTTTGTATAAATTGGCGTTAGTACCTCTGCCTTGTGAGGTAAAAAGGCAGAATGGAATCTTCAAGCCTTGCTTCTAGAAAGCTCTGTCGCTCAGGAGACTTACAACAAGATTTTTAACCTCTAAGAGAATCCTTGAGTAGTTAAGTGGTATGTGTACCATTTAATGTTGTTGCATTAAGCTTCAAAAGTAGCAGTATTTTAAAGTAAGTGTGTCTTAAAACTTTGCCCAGGTGAGAATGAAGACAAGGATGCCACTGAAAACCCAAAGTACCTATGGCATCAAACCACATTCTTTTTTAGGAGGCTTTTTTGATTCAAAGCTTGCCATGGATGGGAGGTGAAAATTGTTTGATTTGCTGAAGTAATTTGAGAGGTTTTTTTCCTTTTTGTTTCCTCCTAAGCCTCTGGGACCGGAGTACCATGACCGAAGTGAAGGCACTAAATGTTGCAATGTCAGTGAGCAGCATGGAGTATGTTCCAGAAGGACAGATACTTGTGATAACCTATGGGAAGACTATTGCTTTTCATAGTGCAGAAACGTGAGTCCAAATGACAGAATTTTCATGGGCTTGGTTGTGGGTAAAAACTTGACTGTACAAGGTCAAAATCACCAAGTTGTCAGAACTGGCATTAGTGGACATCTTTGCTTTCCGTCTTGTCAGAGGCAGAGTGTGGAATGACTACCCTCTTCTAAAATAGTGAACCCTAACTGTCTATAACTAGACTGTAAAGGTTCGGTGCCATTTTCTTATTTCACACTAATGGTAATTGTGGTTGAATAAGTTTCGGCCAGGGTTCAGTTCAGTGCTTTTCAGAGAACTGATTATTTATACATCTCTATGATGTCTTAAGAAAGCAAGTTACACACTTAAACATATTCCAGAAAGTATTTCTGAATGTGTGAGCTTTTGTTTTGCTTATTCTGAACTAGTTTCTAACTTGATGAGTGTGATTTGCAAGTATTAAAACTTGTTTCAGAAACTGTGTGTGGGTGTATTCTATCTTAAAAGCAGTTGTGATTAGTAGAATCACAGTTTCCTTGCTCTCAGGATCTTTTTTTTAATGAACTTTTTTAACAAACTTTTCTCCTCAGTCTAGAGCAGATTAAATCATTTGAAGCACCTGCTACAATCAATTCTGCATCACTTCACCCTGCGAAAGAATGTTTGGTTGCAGGTGGTGAAGATTTTAAACTCTATAAATATGACTATAATACAGGAGAAGAACTAGGTATGTTTGTCTTCTATAATCAAAAATGAGTTCTGAAATAGGTATTAGATTAATGAAATGACTAATTAAACTGTTGTACTCAAATAAGGTCTTAGCATAGCATGCTATGCAAGAAGATGAAAAGGTATATTACCAGTTAAGCTTTTTTTCCTACCTCAGTATGCCTAACATTACTCTTCTAGACCTAATTAAAGCCTCCATCAAACAGCTCTTTGCACCTATTTTAAAAAAAAGTTGTCATTCTGCAATACAGTAGCAAGCTGTATGTTAACTTGTGTCATACTATAGCATTTATTAGATGTCTAATGAGTTGCAGCTACTCACTTTTATGAAAATGTGGTATGTTTCTGTTCTTGTTAACGTTGGCCAAATGTATTTAAAAAATATGTATTTGTAAGTTTGTGTTCGTTGATCCTGTCCTTGTTTAAAATTGTGTGTGTGTGGAGCAAGAGGTTGAAGGAACAGAGCATGTATACTCTGTGCTACTGGCTTGCTTTGTAGTTTTGCCTAGAATAAATAAACACCTGTTTTCTTGCAGCTAATAGAACATTAGTATCTTACCTAAACTAGAGATTGCTGAGATACAATTAATAGAAGCTTTGTTTTGCATCAGAAGTTAAGTACTGGGAAAGTGGCCCCCCCTACCCCCCGTATTTTTTTTCCCTCTTCTGATCAGTTTTTACTTACTAATTTCAGTTGTTGGCTGAAATTTGAAATTAATGGTCTTCATATGTTCTCTTATAGAATCTTACAAAGGACACTTTGGTCCAATTCACTGTGTGAGATTTAGCCCTGATGGAGAGTTATATGCAAGTGGCTCTGAGGATGGTACACTAAGGCTGTGGCAGACAACAGTAGGGAAAACCTATGGTCTTTGGAAGTGTGTAGTTCCTGGTAAGTGTGTGCTTCTTCCTGGTGGAACTTGGCTGCTCCATGTGCACTTTTTAAGTAATATCTATCTAAAGTGGTAAACATCATCATATTTCATATAGTAACTGTACTGTCTTCTGAGGATTTCTTTATCCACTCAAATCTGTTAGATTTAAGGATTTACTTTTGTAGCTGTTATTTAAGCAATTAACTTCATACCTGTAAGCTTATTGCATATAGACACTTTGTGGATATTTAAGCAACTAGTCTGATGTATTTTTATGTTGAAAAGCAAGAAATATACCTCAATTAAGTGGAAAATTTTATTATTTTGATTAAGGTGGGTGGGGGAACTGAAGGTATTGACTTTTTTTCTCCCTTCTCTCTACAGAAGAGGAGAATGCAGAAGCAGCAAAAGCAAGGACCACCCTTCCAGGAACTGCAGAGGAAGAAATAGGTAATGCACTGAATTGCCCGCTTCACCTCAGCTAAGTGTTAAAAGATTAGTCAAGATGGTAGCAGTCTTTAGTATGGGAGAGGTAGTTTTCCCCAAGCACCTTCTGGCAGTTTTCACTCTTCTCAAGATCTTTGAATGCATTTTCCTGAAAATGACCATGTGGCAGGTGTCAGACTAGTGACTAGAGCTGTGCAGACTGAACAGATGGGGCAGCATAACTGTATCAGGTTAAATGGGAAAACAAACTGAACTGGTCTTTAAGCAATTCCTGGAACATTTCTTTGGTTTATATATCTCAGGTGAAGTTAAATAATACCCTTTTTATTTAATTGCAGAAGATCTTGCCTCTGAAAACTCAGATTCAGTGTACAGCTCAACTCCTGAAGTTAAGGCCTGATTATTGCAACTGTTACGCGACATGTGGACATAAGAGACTAAATCAAGTGAACAGTGATGAACAGCAGCCTTCCAGAGTGTGCTCTCTACATAAGGCAAAGATGGGCAGTAATTGATGAGAATGCGGTGGAACTGGCTAGGTGTTGTCTGTAAGAGAACTGAGCATCCAAATAAAATAAAAAAAAGACAAGTAGTAGAGTTTTGCTATCTTTTTAGCATAACTGCCTACTGTCTTTTCAAAGAAGTGTGCAAGCCAAGATCCAGTCTCTCCAATTTCAATTAGACTCATTGTAGTGTGTTTTCTTTATTATGGAGAAGAGATACAATGGCTTTTACCCATTCTTTTTTTCTTGAAAGTTGGAAAATTTGGCTTTAGTTCAAAAGAAGGGATTACGTACTTCCAGTATTTGGTTCGGGTTTTGTTTCATTGTACGCTGCTTCTGAATGTTTAACTGTTTTCAGTTGTTTAAATAAAATGCCTCTCAACTCGTATCTTACTGTTCAGTGTTGGATTTGTGGAATGGAAAAGCAACCAAGTTAATAACGTAATCCTTTCTAGCATCTTGGTTTTGTACTATACAGAAGGAAGGCGGTAGGAATGGTTTGGTGTTGGTAGGGAGGGTGGCAAGTTCTTTGATCTGTAAGCTTTGTGTCTTTTTACTCTTTGAATGTAAACGTGAGTCTCTAAAATCAAAACCAGTGAAAACTAAATTAAACATGCTGCCTGAAATATTTGGTTGTACATGAAAATCTCAAAGGTTGGCTATGAATCTGTGTAAAGCTTGGGTTTAGTGCTCCAGACTGGATAAAAAAAGTTAATCTTTCAAGGTTACAAATCATATTTTCTTCATTAAAGAAAATATTGCCATTCTTCCACTTGTTATTTCCTTTAATGTTATGCTTAAAGGTTTACATAATGCATTCTGTATGGAAAGGAGAAAGGTTATACAGAGGTACAGTTATTAATACACTTTTTTTCATATTCATCCTTACTGTCCTTTTGGATTTTTTTCCCCAAGATTACAGTAATGCTATCATCTTAGAAAATTGAAGCTTAACATTTGAAAACTGGAGTATACATTGAAACATCGGCAGTTCCGTCTGAATATAAGAAAATACTTTTCCATAGTGAAGGGCAGTCAAACACTGCAACAGGTAGCCTGGAAAGGTTGTGAAGTCTCCATTCTTGAAGTTACTCAAAACCCAACTGGCTGTGGTCCTAGGGACCCTGCTGTAGCTGAGCTTGCTTGGGCAGGTGGTTGGACTCAGGTGGTTGACAGTCCCTTCTAGCTTCAGCTGTTGGGGTGGGGAAGTAAGAAAGAAAACAAGGAATGGGGTAACCATGAATCATGGTTTCTTAGTACAATACTAGCGTTAAGGATATGTGATTTCACAGACTTTATTCCAAAATTAGTTTTGCAGTTATCTGTTTGAATTTTACTCTAACAACAAGCAAGTCGCAACCCTCTGATTTACAGCTCGTTGTTTCAACCTTATCATTAATTCCATTAAGGCTTGAGGGCTCAAATCTAGTACTTCAGCCTAGAAGCTGTTCATTTTACAAGCTGGAGTATGAGTTTAAAACAAGAAACTCGTGCACCTTACCCCATGGTGAGACATCTTGCAGGCTGTGGTCTTCATGCTGTATTTCAAGCGGGCTGTGTAGCGTCTCACAGAGATGTCTGGAACAGCGTCCTCAGATTTCAGAGCTGTGGCCCTTCGCTGCTGTACGCGATGCTGTGGTTTCTTTGCTAGCACTGGGCAAGTAAGGCTAAAGTTGCAAGATGTTTCATCTAACTGAGAATATTAACAATGTTTAATACCTTTTTCATATGAGTTTGTGTCCCTGTAACTCAGGAAAAAAGTAAAGGCTGTGCAGTTGTCAGTGGCTTTGTTACCAGACTTGCCGTTTGCAGGTGCTACTAGGAAGTTTTACAACGTCGGTAAGTTTACGCAGCCCGTTAAACTGTGTGTGACGCTAGTTTCTGCTTGAAGATTCCACTCGAAGAAACGGGAAGTTGCCTGGACTCGCCATCATCAAGAGGGCAGGTTCGGCGTCTTTAGGACGAAAGGAGCAGAACCTCCTAGCACCCCCTCGCAGAAGGGCGGAGGTCTCGCCCTGCGGCGGCTGAGGGATGGCGGTAGGCCTCGGCTGCCCCGTTACCGACAGCTCCGGTGCGGCGGGCTCGGAACGCCGCGGCCCGGAGCGGGCCCGCCGAG